GTTACTCCCTTACACATCTTATCTTCGGCACTTATATGACCGTATTGTGTTGCAAGTTCCCCCCAAAATTCTTCCTAAAAACTGAGAACGGGAGCGCAGATTGTACTGAAAAGAAAAAAAAACGCCTCTGGGTGGTTGGCAGATGCTCTGGTGTGGTGAACTCCTTCGTTCTTATCAGCCATCTATCGTCCTCATATCTCATCCTTCTATTCTTATGTTACTACTTTGCAACACCTCAAATCTCCGGCACCTATAGTATGACCTCTTTGTGGTGCTAATGCGCGAAACTCCAACAACTGAAAAAACAAAAACAAAACAAATCTTTTTTTCTTTAGATCGGAAAAGAAGTACGGTTATCAGCGGGGGCATGTGATGTATTATTATTTCGGGTAGATAACGGAGGTGGCCGCCCCTTTTTGATCACCGTCTTAGTTGATGATGTGATTATTTTTGTTTCGAACATTGTGTGCTAAATTATTACATTTTTCTGGATCAATTCCCGAGTACATGTAACTTACACGCGTTGCCCAATTCGTAATACACGCGTTGCCCAATTCGTAATACACGCGTTGCCCAATTCGTAATACACGCGTTGCCCAATTCGTAAAGTTTGTGCGCAAAGTGAATTTGCTGTGGTTATGATAATGTTTAAGATAACGACGATAAGTTCTTATCATAATGACAGCACAAATTCATCATCATCATCATCATCATCATCGTCATCATCATCATCATCATCATCATCATCATCATCATCATCCTCATCATCATCACCACCACCACCACCCTCATCATCATCATCATCATCATCATCATCATCATCATCATCATCATCATCATCATCATCACCGTCATCACCACCACCACCACCACCACCACTGTCGTCATCATAGTTCTGTTTGCTCGTTGATTTCACTGGATTTCTTTTGGGTCTTTGTCTCCTGTGTCAAGGCTGTTTTGATCTAGACCCGGGCTTCGTGATGTTTTGAGCAGTCAGTGCTAGATACTGATGGAATGAAACCTCGTTTCCCACGGAGTCGAACAATTTATTTCAAGGAACATTTGTGGTTAATTTATTTCTAGGAACATTTGTGGTGTCATTGCACTTACTTTGTTCTGTACCGAGAAATTAATTATTGACAGCATCCGCGTCACAGACTCAAGCGCGGAAAACGCTCTCTTCCTCCTTGCTGGCTGGCTCAACTGGCTGGATGTGGCTGGCGTTTGTTTGTGTGCGCGCCTTCGCTTCCTTGTTCCTGCGTGGATTTATCTCTCACGGACTGTTTGGATTGTTTTGGGGGAATCCCCCCCCCCCCCTCCTGTTGCCCCTTCCCACATCTTCCTCTCCTGTTGTTGGCGTGTCCAGTGTCAAGTGTTGAGACAAAGTGGCTGGCCCTGATACTTGGCCGCGCGAGCAGGATCTGTAAACAACTGGAGCACACTCATTCACACAGACGCACACGCACGCACACATAGACAGACGCAAACACATACACACATACACACAAACACACGTATTCACATACACACACACACACACACACACACACACACACACACACACACACACACACA